TGTCCGAACTCAGGAGATAACCTGTATCTGATCCTTTTGTGAGCTGTAGGACTTAGAGCTCTTCTCCTGCATTTTAAACCAGCGTTTTAGACCCCTTGTGTTTTCTGGTCTAGAAATGATGTTCTCTGCCTGAATCCGCTTGTCTTCTTAGTTGCACTTCTCTGGATCACGTGCCAGTGAGACCAGCCACACAGGGTTATCCAAGGAATTTCTTATCCAGAGGCACTAACACTTAGGGTTTATTTATTTTTAAATTTAATTCCCAACCTTGATAGATCAGTGAGACAAGGTCCAGTTCTTCAAAGTGGTTTTCTTTAGTCTGACCTGTTAACCTGTGCTAACGACTGGACTTCTCTAACCAGGGAGCTGCCCTCCCTGAGCGTCTTTCCTCGATGGGTGGAATGACTGGGCTTGTATGGAAAACCCTTCTTTAAAAAAGATTTGTTTGCTATTTTATTTGCAGAGAGAAATCAAAGTAAATGACTCTTAACGTTAGAAGTTAAGGTTCCTGGTAAAGTATTTACTCTGAATGCCTAGACAGCATTCGCAGAGCAAAATGGTGCTGTTGTGTGACATAGACATATTTCTCCAACCAGACGTGCTTGTTTATTGAGAGAACTTGGTGAGTCAGGAGCTACAAAACGTGCATTGGCATTGCAGTGTGTGCTAAGCAGCCTGATGTGTTGTATTTCATAGTCCTTTTGTGGATGTCTTGGAGAAAACCCCTGTTCCTCCTTGCCTCTACATGCAATTTTTGGTTTGGGAGACTTAAACAATTTTCATATCTGTTAGCTTTTAAAAAAAGTACCAACTTTTTTGAAAGAGAGCCTTGTAGGTAGAACATCCTTTCCTATTGACAGTCACAGGAAGGGAGTAGGTGGATGACGTAGGATGCCGCCCATGTGTTACTTCTGCATCCTTCAGCTGTGTTCTTCGCAACCTTATTGGTTGTCTGAAGTAGGTGTGGAGCAGGAAATAATCCTTGTTTCCAGATGAGTTGCTTGAGAATATTTCCTCAACATGCAGAAAGAGGGCAATGTACCTGCTCGTGCAGCTGATGGTTGGGTTCACACAGTCTGGCCAGAGGAAAGTGGCATGGGTTTGGAAGCAAGCAACCAAGAGGTGGGGAAATAAACTGGCCTCTTGGCTTCCATGGACCTCCTGCCTGACACGTACAATTAGGTGACTTCTCTTAAGACAGCGAAATGCCCTGATGGCTTTGGGAAGGATGGGCTTGTGGTCACGAGGCTTGGGTGAGGGGCTGTGAAGGGGGGATGTACGTCGTGAGCCGGGCAGCCCCGTGACTAATGCAGCTTTTGCGGAGGAAGACGAGCTTGAGTTGTGTTGTCAAGCAGGAAATGTCAGATGGATGTTTATAGATTAGAGTTACCTTCTCAACTCTGTGAAGGCCTTTTCAGTGAGTCAAAATAGAAATACTCTCTGTTCAACTCAAATAAGTCGAGTTTCTGTAAAGCTTGTTTTTACTCTTCTACACTGAACAATTTTTCTACCGTCCTCACCCTGTCTTTGAATTTGAGATATTGCCTAGATACGACAGGTGCATCAGCAGAACACCTGGCTTGTTTGATACTGGGGTTTGTTCTGTCTGAAACTGGCTTGCAGTCAGCTTGCTGTGTTTCTCACGCTGAAGTTAGGCAAGTGGCAAGTAGCTCAACCTCTTTGTAGTGGAGTATCATCAATTCCTTGTGCACTGGTGTGGTGTTTGTAGGAACATGGATTCACCTGTACGTCATACATAACTAACCACCTAGTTGTCTGTAATTGCAGCTTGCAAGCTATCCTTCAGTCTGTCCTTGGGAGCTGTGTGCGTCCTTTTGTTTTCATTTGGTTGTTTTGGGTTTTTTTTTGTCTGTTTTGTTGGTTTTTTTTGTTACTTTCGTTTGTGTTAGGAAAGAAAAAACTAAACATTTTGCCGGTTTTGATAAACAGCCAGAGGCAGGGGCATTTATTTGCATTGTGGATATTTGCTGCTGTTGGGAGGCAGACTTTGCGGTGGGTTCTGTAGCTTGCTGCAGATGCAGCTGTACTGCTGAGTGATCTTTTTACTTCTGTACTTCGGGCAACAGGAAGAAAAACCAAAATTTCCTGAAGCAAAAGGCTTGGCATCTTTGCCCTTCAGCTTTGCTGGTGTAACTAAGCCAGCAAGGGGTTTGAATTGTGATGAGGTGAGAATTGTGATGAGGTGAGATGTGACAGGGAAAAAAGAAAAAAAATTGCAGGTTTTTCATAGATTTACTTTGTGCGTTTGACAGCACTTGGTTTGTTTCCCTGCTATAGTTGTCCTGCTGTTCTCAGATTAGGGTGCCAGTGTGACCTGGGCCCAGGGCTCGTAGCCCGGGTAGCGCTTGCAGAGGCAGCGGCACTTCTGCCGGTAGAGCTGGGTTGTGTCCTCAAATAAAAACACAACTGCGTTGGAGGAGGGGAGAGGAATTTCCACGTTCATGTTGCAGTGACGTGAGAGACTTGTGCCAGCACGGCTGTCTGTCGGGCTCTGCTTCCCCGTGCCACCGATCGGCATGATCCGCTGGCGAAACCCTATGGAGCTGTGTGAGTGTGGGAAGCTGGTTTTAGGCATCGCCTCTTTTTACTGATATTTGTGTAAGAAAGGTTCCTGTGACGTATGAAACTGTAACAAACCCACAAACCTTTATTGCTGGTTTTTCCGTGACCGTGTTTTCGATCGACGTATCTGTTAGTGCCCTCAACGTTGGAAGTAAAAATGTTCTCGTCCTCCTGCGTAAGGAATGCGCCGGGGTGGGGAGGATCGGGGGAATTTTATTTGTTTTGGTTCCTGAGTCTGGCTGCAGGATAGACCCTGCTTTCTGTGTGCTGATTTCTAACCTGCCTGCACCTTCAAACAATGGGAAACATCCAACGGGTAGCAGGAGCTTCTCCGTTAGCTCAATTATTTCTTAATCCTCTGTGGTTTCTGCAAGCCAGGCCTGTGAGTTTATTACAAAACAAGAGCAGAGTGAAGCTCTGAGAGGTTCTGGCTGTTCAGGAGGTGACTTTAATGGTGATGGTAGCAGGCATTAAACTCTTCAGCTGTAACCACTTGTTCTGTCGAAGAAATGTTTGTAAAGCATTATAAGTAGTGTTTTTCTGTGTTTCAAATCTATTTGTTTCACTTTCCTTTCAGCTGTCAACACTTCAGACTGTAACTGAAATGCCTTATTCTTTTAAGACATCTCCCTTTTTACAAAGCACCTCGTCTGTTCTCATTAGTAGCTCCCTGACAGGCCCATAGTTAAGTGTGAAGTAGGTTCTCAAGGTATTCGGAGAAAAAAATGCCAGCGAACTCCTGTTCTATCCGAAGCGGTGATGCTAGTCTGCAGCAAGGTTTATCTCAGACCTGCAACAAGGTTGTTCAGTTCTGTCACTGTGGCACAACAGTGTAGAAATTTTGTGCAAATTTAAGTAAATCTGTCTGGGTGCAGACTTCATTAAATAGGTGAATCATCTGATTTAGGGCTTTGAAATAACACAACCTATTTTGGTATGGGGAAATACCTCTTGTGGACACCTGTGCACTGCAGATCTCTTGCAGGTGCTGGAGGTTTGAGGAATTGATAGGACTTTGGGGCTGGTTTTGCTAAAGCTAGGGTAGCATGCTTTCTAATATTAGCACTTTAGGTCTGAGAGTTCATGTGAAAATGTCTTGAGTAATGTATGTGTCTGAGTACTTTGCACAGTTTGAAGAACTAGAGAGGATGGGAGCATTTGTCCTCTATTTCAAAGACTGTTTGCAAATGCAAGTGCTGGTTTGGTTATTCAGCTTCGGTGGCTGGGAAATTGCAGAACCCTGATACGCTGAATTAGCTGGTTTAGTCCTAAATATGCACTTGAAGTATTATTTTGAATTTGATCTTTTGGGGTTGACTGCAAAACATTCAGAGTATTTTATGGTTTTGTACAGAAGATCCAGATAGGCAGTCATGGTGATCGAGTTCCAGACGTTTCGCTTTCTTGTGATTTCTTGGGAATCCAAAGTTCTGCAGGAATACCATTTTGGCTGGTGTCACGGGCCTTGTGACGGCGAACAAGCCCATGTCAAGCACTGAAAGGAGTTTTTAAATAGAAACTAGGCTCGGGAGTTGGCTTTCTGGCTCCTGCGTGACCAGTGGGGAAGTACTTACCGTGCGCAGGCGGGGGTGCCTGTGCTGCTGCTTTGCGTAGTGTTTTCCTTGGTTCCTGAAGAAGTGAGACAGTTGACAAGTCTTACCAGTTTGTTTCATTAGACCATGTTGGGAGACAGTAAAAGACTGTGTAAATCAAGATGCTAATTAACAGAAGGCAAAGCCCTACTCCCCCATCCAAAACAGAAGATGCAGCTCTGATGTAAGAAGTGAGGAAGTTGAATCGGAAGAAGCTTCTTTCAACTCAGTAAGGATCGTATGGGGTTGCACACAACTCAGGTTATCATTTCGCTCTCTCTTTTTAACATCAGTCATTTCCCTCCTTTCCTTTGAGCCTGCGTGCATTAGTTATGCTGCATGGCAAAAAGTGAGGGAGGGACTTGGAAGTGAAGTAGGGTTCTGGAGTGAAGGGCTGGCAGAGCTTTTCAGTGCAAGTGCTGGAGACTTGGATATGGTCAGTGTGTGACTTTTATTCATCTAGCTGGAAGTCCAAAAACTGGCTAACATTAGAGATGCTAGCAGAACAGCAATCAGAGAATCGTTACGTTTACAAGCTTTATTCTGCACTGGCAACTTGTCCTTCTCTCAATTTTTTTTTACCCCGGTGTTTCTGTCCCGAATTGTGTATGGCAAGTGGAAATCCTTTAAAAGTTGCTCATTACAGACTTTTGAAGTAGATGTATCTGCCTGTGAACAAGTGCTGGTTTATGTTCTATTTCAGATAATCAGTGGTGGTGTGCCTTTAAAAACTGTATGCTTAAGGGGATGAAGCCACATTCTGATGTTAGTGTTTAAGATGCTGTAACTCGAATACTAATTTTTTGTTTTGTTTCTTTCAAGCAAATGGTTATGAGCCTTAGAGTTTCTGAACTGCAAGTACTTCTGGGTTACGCGGGGAGGAACAAGCACGGCCGAAAACACGAACTGCTGACAAAAGCACTGCATTTGTTAAAGGCTGGCTGCAGTCCTGCCGTACAAATGAAAATCAAAGAACTCTATAGGCGAAGGTTCCCGCAGAAAATCATGACACCTGCAGACTTATCTATCCCCAGCGTACACTCGAGCTCCATGCCAGCAACTTTGTCTCCGTCTACCATTCCACAGCTCAGTTACGATGGCCACCCTGCCACGTCACCATTGCTTCCCGTTTCGCTTCTGGGACCTAAACATGAACTGGAACTCCCCCATCTTACATCTGCGCTCCACCCTGTCCATCCCGACATAAAACTTCAGAAATTACCTTTTTATGACTTGTTGGATGAGCTGATAAAACCCACCAGCCTAGGTAAGGTTGTGGATGTTGTAATAATAGTTGAAGTCTTTTTTTTTTTTTTTTTAAATAGAAATGGATGAATTCAGCTGCTAATGCAGTAACTGGTTAAATATTGCATCATGCCAGTGTTTAGAGAATTGCTATTTTTGGTAACTTTTGGAACAGATTGTTCTACATGGAGAGACATCTTACGTAACACTCATTAGTTGCTTTAGCTGAGCCACTAAATATGGTTCAAATATCCGTTATATTTCAGGGGTGAGTTTGAGAAGAAACAAACTAAACCTTAGAAAAAGGAAGAAACCTGTCTGCTTTCAGTAGTTCATATAAACCAGAGTTTAATTGTTTAAAAACCAAACCAAACAAAACAAAAATACCCCTGAATCTATCAAGCCCACAAAATCTTCTCGTCTGTGCTGGGAAAGAATTCCAGGCTAGATGTTTGCTGTGATACTTTACAGCCTTAACATCTGAGTTTAGGAAGGACTTGTTCTTTCGCAGTTGTGGCTACTTTTCCTTAAACTCTGTTTTGGATTAAGGTATAAATCACTTGTGTGGCTGCTGAGAATAATCTGCTGCTTATGGAGCATTATATAACAATGTGTTATTTTTTATTTTTTTTTTTCTGGCTCTGACTCCGCATAGCACTTAACAGCGTGGTTAACTTTTAATAAACGCTGCTTAAATACAATAGTCCTGTTGATTTCTGGAGGGGCTGCTTGCATGTTGGAACCTTCTGCTGTCTTGAAACCCTGGAAGAGATTCACTATGAGAATAGCTGATAGGAGGAGGAGATTTGTGAGAGTAGACATGGGGAGATGGTGAGTGAGTGAAACAAGTGTCCTTGGCGAAAGAGACCTCTTGTAAATGAAAATGAGCAGGTACTTTGCATTAACAGTCTGAACAGCTACAGGGATGTAGGAGGCCTAGTATGTGAGTGGTGATGCTGGTCTGCAGATTTCTGAAGTATGTTGCACGGTTGTTTACATATTTTTTTTTTTAACTGTTATGACTGAGACATTGAGAGAAAACCAGATAGCTTTTGATAAAACTTCTGGTTCAGGTATACTATATCTATTTAGCTGTAATCTAAAACCTGATTGATTAATAAGCATTCCAGGCAATGCTGGTGCTACAGGATAATTAGGTACTCAGTATGTATCTCATCACTTTTACATTATAAATACTTAAAAATAATGCTATAATTTCAATAAGACATTCCAATGCAGGAATTATGGTATGCATTTCTTCTTAGATGTGGTAAGAACACTTTGCTGTCAGCTCCGTGTCTGACAAACTGGCCCCAAATGAAGAGATCATAATTCACACTCTGTGTGTCTTCCTGCTTGAGGAGTTCATATACAATAGGATATTTTTTTCCCCTTTATGGACTCTTGAGTGTCAGGGTAAGAAAATGGAAGTGGGTGAAATTCCAACCAGGTACCTTTTTAAGCAATCTCTGTACTTTCAATTAACAAAGGTATGTTTGTTTGTTTGTTTTTGCATGTGAATCCTGTCTGCAGATGTCTTTCTGTTTGTCTGAAGCAATATTGTTATTAAAAAGCTCTTTTTCTTGTGCTTTTTGGGGAAGAGAGAGCGTCAGTGTCAGCGCATATGAGAAATGATTGGTGTTTCTTTTTGTAGTGGAAAGTCATGTTGCTCCAGATTGTAAAATTGCTAACTATAAATGTCATGAAGGTATTTTAGAGTAATAAATATATATATATGTTAATGAAAAAAACCTGTTGGATTAATAGCCAGTGATATGCAGCTTTATATACTTTCAAAATAACTTGGAGCAATTGTGCATACAGCTTAGCAGTTTTAAATGCAAGGATGGAGCAGATTTGGATTAGTTTTCTCCATTTATACAGTTACTGATACTCTAACTAAAAAGTCTTAAATGATTTGTTGAATATTTGCCCTGAATGGTTTGGGCATCCTTCTCACTGCTGCAAACAGTGTGAGTTTTCTCAAATGTCAAATTTCTAAGTTCTCTGGCTTTGTTTTCAAACGACAGATACATACTACAGACACTCGGAACTTCTCCTTGGCATATGGCCAGCGTTTCAGCTTCTCCTGCTTGCTTTTTCCCATCAGATTCCTCATGGGGTAGGGATAAGAAACTTTTGAATTTCCTCTGTTTCCCTCCACCACGAGAACAAACTGATGATCTGATGTGGGGTTTTGAATAATGATCTCCTGGCTTAAAATGGAACCTACTGGAATAGAAAAAAAATGTGTGTGTGTGTGAGAGAGAACGAGCGCGATCTCTGTCGATTTGAGGATCTTGAGATTCTTCTGAAATGATAGTCATGGTGCAAAAGTTGGGCAAACCACATCTTTGAATGTGATTCTGCCCGGTCTTTTCCAAGTTGAGGTGGAATTGCTTGGAAGGTTTGCCACAGTAGTCTTCTGTCCCATCAAGAAGTGATTATTAATCAGAAAAAAAATAGTTTGACAAAGCTTCAGGGAAGGGTGTTGTACAGCAGGGCACTTGAAGATGCATTCCATACCCAAATATTTTGCATAGGTGGGTAGTACACAAGCTAATGTGAATAACAGATAAAGAAATTAAATTTGCTAACTATTATTTTTAATGTCAAGAATGTTCAAGGCCAGATTGGATGAGGCTTTGGGCAACCTGGTGTAGTGGAGGGTTTCCCTGCCCATGGCAGGGGGGTTGGAACTGGATGATCTTTGAGGTCCCTTCCAACCCAAACCATTCTGTGATGCTATGATTCTATAACAAAAGGAGGAAATGATGTTACCTTCTTACACTTGCTTCCTCAACATGTAGCTCTGAACTGTGATTACAAACGACACGCTGACCGCTCGCCGGGGTGGAGGCATGGCAGGGGAGAAGAGCAGTGCTTCACCCATCCGTACCCTTCTCACCATTGAGGAGCATGGCTGGCTGAAGCGTGTGTGACAAGGCTCTTGGCCAACTTTCTGTAACTTTCCCTGGCTTACAGCAGTCCATACAACGTGCAGCAGTGAGTAGGATGCTTGCAGAAGAGCAGACTTGCCTGGCTAGTTGAACTTGTCATCTCAGCCTGTGCTACCTCAGCCTGCTCCTGTCTGAAGAACTGAACGTTGCAGCTAAGCCCTGCTGACGGTGGGACGACTCTTCTGCTGTTACTCTGCTCAGATTGCAGAGTCTCTCGCTTCCTTCCGAGTTTTTCAAGTCCATGACTCCTGCGTGGCTCTTTCAGAGCTGTGGAGCTGATAGGGACAATTCTGGTTGTGCTGGCTGTGCTGTCGGGGGACGATGGCATTTTCTTCACTCCCAAGAAGACTGTCAGTGGGCTTGTTTTTCAGACAAAGACATATGTGTCCGTGTTCAGTGGAGTGGTCAAATTTGATCCATATTTTATTAGTCATCCTCATTGCAAAATTGAGAAAGCTTCTATGTTGGATGGTTTTTTTTTTTTTGTGCAAACCAACTAGGAATGCTCTGTATTCCGAAAATGTATGTTGGGGGATGAGTCTGTACACCGAGCTCTTCCAGAGCTAGTGAGAAGCCTGAGCACTCTGCCCCATGGTTAACCACGATTTAGTGTGATTATATGACTTGGGTTTTTTTGAGGAAAAGCTATCCAGTTTGGCCTTGATGGAATGTATGAAAGTTGCCTTTTTATTGTGACTTCTCTGTTGTTTTTTGAATAGGAACTCCTTTGAATAAGAGAATTTTGGTTGTTAGTTTCTCAAGTGAAGCTGCAGCTTTCACTTAATTTCACTTATTTTCAGCCCCCTGTGCACAGACACTGCTAATTGGTTGGTTTTTAAGCATAGGGCCAATTTTCTAAAAGTAACTTCCAACGCACAGATAAGATCTCTTTTGTGTGGTGAAACATGTTTACTATGAGATGAGTAACAAGTTCCAAAATTCTGCCAGATTTTTATGGAAGGGACATTAGATAGTTAAACAACATCTTAAAAATACTTCTTCTTGTTACAGCATATGTCATTCCTAATTGCTTTAGCTGTGTAGTCGTTCCAAAAAACATTTTAACTAAGTTATGGGTCTTTACTTACCTGTAAGAGGAAATTAACCTTTTCTTTTCAATTTAAAGGATTAAAAAGGCTTTGGGCTCTGCTGCTTTTCTAAAAGCTTCCTGAATGGCATGTGGATGATCACCCTATAACTGAACTTGCTGTGCTTCAGGTTTAGGCGATGTGGAACGCAGCCCTGAAACTTGGATCAGAGCCATGGCAATCAGGATTTTTACGTACAGCTCTCTCCTCCTGGAAAGAGGAGACAAACGTAAGGTTTTTTGAGGAGTCGGAGTACCACTTACAGAAAGCATCCTGTCCTGCCTGCCAGGCTGCAGATCCTGACTCCATCCGGTGAAAGGAGCTTCTTCCAGTGGCTCTACTGAGGCTTGTCTTGCTTTGCTCAGGTCTTAGTTTAACTGCTTAGTCTGTGGACTCTCATAACAGGGTTTCTCCAGTGAGCAGAATTGCACTGCTGGTGCCTGCCCTCGAGAATTGTGTGCTTGCTACCCAGTGTTGGTGCTTCTGACTTGCGTTTTGCCTTGGATTTTCTTCTTGGCTGTGGTTGAGCATGGTTGCTTGGACGTGCTGCGTTCTTGACAGATCTTGCAACTGATATGACTAAAATCTTTAGGTTGACTGTAGTTCAGGGTGCAGCTATTAAACAACAATTCAGCTCACTTAGGATTCTAGGTTGGAAACTTTTATAAAGTTTTGTTTGGCAAGTTTCTCCCTTTCATATATCAGCAAGCTGATCTGTTGCTCTGTGCAATCAGTATCATGGTTTATATGAAAGTCAGGCTTTTACTGTCTTCTGTGTTTGTTATTTTTTTAAATGTACTTTGTGGGAGGAAGTTCAACAAAACACTATATTCTCAACTCAGGCTTGAGCTTGCTGACTTCCGGCCCTACAGCTTTTAATTGTGCAAGAAAAAGCTGAAATATCAGCTCTCTCTTGTTCATGTGCTGAGGCTGAAGTAGAATTACAGTGCACATAAGTTTCTTTTTCTGGCTTC